TAAATTTTCAGGATAATATTGCTCCCACTTTTATGCACTCATGCAGACCATTGGCATACCTTATAGACTATCTACTCAGTGCAAATATAGCTGCATTTATACCTCAGAGGGGCCAAGTATTTATGCCTATATCCTCCACAAGGGTTGCTGGTTTTACTAGTAGACAGATGTTTTGTGAATTGAAAATTATTTTGTGGAATTGTTACAAAGGAGTGCTTTTCTTCTTGATTGTAAGAGGAATTTATGTTAAACTTTAAGGTAAGGCTATATAAAGAGATTTTTGAGATGCTGTTATTTATGTTTATTGTAATCAAAGTAGAGTGAGTTGCAGTGTGGGAAAACAATGTTGAAATTCCATTGTTTGAATGCTTTTTCTATTTATAAGTGAAAATTTTGATTGGCCTTTTATATTTTATCTTGGGTAAAATGGACAGACATGAAACTACTGATGAAGAAAAGTGGTATGTTTGCATCATATACAACAGAAAAACTTCCTCTGCTTCCTCCTTTTAACTTATTTTGTACATTGTATATATTAAGTAAAAGAACTTTTCAAATACAGTTTAATAACACTTAGAAATGTTTAAATCATCTGGGAAATAATTGCTATCCCATGTATTGAGTGCCCCTCCCCTTTAAGGCCTAGACATGATTAACAAGTAACTTGTTAGTCTTGCAAATGATCCATGCATTAACAATTTAAGATTTAGACCGTGGTAAGGGTAGTTCCTATTCTTAGGTTATATCATGTAATTTTAAAGTATTTAAGACATGTTTCCTGTATTTGTTTGATTCCATAATAATAGATCTGCTATTTCCTTATGAAAGATATTTATCATATGAATTAATGCAGAATATCCAAATCTAGCTGTATAGCAGCTTTAGGCACAGACTTGACCAAAAAAATTCCCTTGTTCTGGCATAATCAAAATATAATGGTCATTTTCAGCTCATGATTATCAGTACTTTTTTTTTTTTTTTTTTTTTGTTTTTTTTTTTTTTTTTTTTTTTTTTTTTTTCTTGTGCTTGCGAGGCAGGCGGCGGAATCACTGAGCTAGATCCCCAGCTCTATCAGTACCCTTTTTTTTGGAGCTGGTTATAAGAATTTTCAAGTTGATCTGACAGTATTTTGTTAAGGATATTTGTATGCCTATTCAGTGTATTTACATAAAAATTGTTTTACCTTCAGTCAAAACAGTAATCATGAAAACTGTCTTTTGTTGTTTTAAAAGTTTATTTCTTGAGAAATTGGGAACAAATTCTGAGTTGTTCAGCTTTTTACGGAAGATACCTAAATCTTCTGGTTTTTATATTTTTTGTTTACTGCCCCAAGTTTTGTTTCTTTTGGCTGTTAGATGGGAAGAAGTGAGAAATTTCTGCATGTGGCTGTGCCATTGCACATTAGGCAGAAAATGCCTTGCCATGCAGTAATGTTCTAGACTTCAAGAGGAAGGTACAAGTATGCATGAATTAGCTGGTGATACAGTTGGAACTCTGTGCCTGTGGTCTACTGTTTGGTTTTTTTTTTTTAATTCTTCCTCTGGTTCTTTCCATTTTCTGTTCCTCTAAAATGTCAGTGCAGTGCACTGCTACTTTTTATTCACTTGGCCATAGATTCTTTTTTCTAAACACCTGCATATTCTTTCTGTATACTAATTGCATTGACAGCATTGTGTCTTTGACCTTGCACACTAGCTTTACAGTGCTGTCTCTGGTTTTTAGGCTAGTTACTTGAAGACATGAACTTTCCATAGAATATGCACTGACACAACATTGCTATTCTTCTATGGAAAGAAAACTTTTGATGATAAAATAATAAAGATTTTAAATTAAACATTTTAGTTTGTGGGTGTTTTTGGAATTAAAGTGTACTTCACACTTCAATTTATGAAGTGGATTCACCACTCTGATACTGTGATAGAAAGCAGCTATGACATTAGTGATAACATCAGGTGTGCAAAAGTAAAACTGATTTTTTGTTTTTTTGTTTTTGCGGTACTGGGGAATCAAACTCAGGACCTTGTGCTTGCGAGGTAGGTGGCAAAACCACTGAGCTAAAATCCCCAGCTGAAATTGAAACCATAGTAACATATATTACAGTGAAGCTATGCAGAAATAAAATAGAAACCATAGTAACAAATATCACCACAAAGCCCCATTAGCTTGTATTACGGCAAAAGAACTGATAATCTGGGGAAGAGGAATTTTTATTTAACCTTTTACATAAATGGTCATGGAAGTTTTGTTGGTACAAAAAGACTGCTAATGGTCAAAAGTTAAGATCCTATCCTTAAAATTTCAGAATGATTTTATGACTTCATGTTTTGTAGGTTTGTCATTAGAGAACTAACTGTCATTTTTACAAATATTGCAAACATTAAAGATTGTAAAAAATTACTCTTTGGTACAGTGGGATAAGAGAAAATAATACTATCCTGTCAAACACTCATTTTGTCTCAAATTGTTTTAATTATAATCTTTATATATTTTTAAAAGCTTAGGTTTTCTGTGTAATCCAGATTTCTAAAAATACCCTAGAATATTTTGAGTGAGGGATGATGTAGCACAGTGGTAGAGCCATGCCTAGCATGTGCAAAGTGTTCAATCCCTAGTACTGTATTTTAAAAAAGCGATGGACATGATGGAACATGCCTATAACCCCAGCTACTTGGGATTGGAAGCTCAAGGCCCACCTGACCTCAAAATAAAAAGATCTGGGAGGTAGCTCAGTGGTAGAATCCCTGGTTCAATCCCTAGTACTAGGAGAAAATTGTTTTAGATTGAATGTAACTAGATTTATAAGTTTCATATAACTATGCATCAAGGTTAACTAGTGCCTATTACTGTTAAGTAGAAGATATGTTGTAGACCCCAGGATGCTTTATGATGCATATACAATTATTTGATGGGAAACCTAAATTCATAGCCTGTGTTGTCCTTTCACTGAAGATTAGGAATTATTTTCCCATCAGTTTCTTCATTTTATGGTATTCCTAGGAAAGAAAACATCCTAAAGAGAACATTGTAGGTAACTGAAGCCTAAGTCATTAAGAACTAACTTTGGATTTATGTTAACCATTTGATGAAACTATTAAATGGATCATACACTTGTGCATTCTTACAATATACAACACATATTTCCTGATAATTTAAGACTTTTATCATACATAGTCAGTGAACTATATTTTTCAGGAATTGTGTTTACTCCTGGTTCTTCTTAAAATTGTTTGTATCTAGCATTCCTTAGCTTCTCTTATTTCTGATTGCTACTTTACACTATTTAGAAAGAATGGAAAATTAGGGGTTGGATGAGGTAACCATGCTCACTAAATCGATTTTTATAACATTTTTTTGTACACAATACAACATCAGTGGACATAATTGTGGTATCAAAATCATTAGGATATCTCCTACTTCTAATGAAATGCTTTGTTTCTGCTACTGAAACACTAAAAAAATCTGTCTTAGCAGCCTGCTAGATGATCCATGGCTGTGAGAGTTAAGGTATACATTACTATACTGTGCAGCAGCAGGAAAAGCCTTATAATCAAGTTCTCTGTACTTTAATGTAGGAGTTAGTTTAAGCTGAAGATACTCATGTATCTTTAACTCCTTTCTGGCTCATATCTTTTTTTTGGGGGGTACAGGGATCGAACTGGGACCTTGTGCTTGTGAGACAGGTGCTGAAACCACTGATCTAAATCCCTGGCTCTCTCATTTATTAATTACAAGAAGACTACAAATGAAGTTTATTTTTACAAGAAATGTTGTATCTTCCAGTCTTATGGACATTATATTTTTTAATCATTCTTGGATTTAGAACCACAGACTATAGTCACAACAATTCAGGTCTTAAACTGTTTCAGTGGGAAGAGAAGGGGCAGGGAAATACAAAAAATGCCATGAATGGTTAAGACCATAAGACATTGATTTTCCAATTATATTTGTCATCTTGTTTTTATTTAGAAGTAGTACTCATGAGGAGAAATCAGGATTTTTTTAATTTGAGGAGACAGTAGAATGACTAAAAAGAAAGATTTCCTGTAATTTACAGCCATAGAAGCCATTAAGTAAGATAAAATATTAAGAAAACTGAGAATTTCCATGTTTGTAAAAACATTGCCTTTAAGTTATCTTGGTTTATAATGTATCTGACATTTAATATCAGAAGTATCTTTGTCTCTTGGTGTATCAATTTATTGCATAACGTATATATAACTGTGACATAAAAGTAAGTGAACTTTTGTAGATTTGTGAACCTTTCAAAAATAGGACATATTGGGGGTCAGGGATGTACCTCAGTGGCACCAAGCGTCCCTGGAAAGCCCAAGGTCCTGAATTTGGTCCCTGGTACCAGAAAAAAAAAAAAAAAATAGAACAGATATTGTCCTGAAAACTAGATTTACTTAACAGCAAACATTTGAGAATAGTTTCTAAATAATTTGAAACAGCTTTCTAGGATTAGGTTAAGGGGAATTTAATTTATTTTTGTCATAGTGTAAATCATCAACTTTCAAAATGTAAGAATCCACTCTGTATGATATTCAAAAATAAGGGCATTATTCTCTTAAAGGTTTAAAAAAAAAAAGATGGTTTTGAACCATGCTTTGCATTAGAACTGATATTGGGCATTTGTCATTTGTCAATATAAATGGATTAGTAATTACTTTCAAGTCCAATACTTAAAATATATTATTAACAAAACCCAAATACTGAGTTTAAATAGAAGTGAGTTGGCATTCACATCTGTTTCACTATGGCTATGTCACAGAGATAGTTTTGCTGAAACTCCATGTTTGGTTCAAGCTTTTTAACCTAGAAAACTTCTATTTACAGTGGTACTTATATATACTGCGTGACAGCATTCTGGGCAGTATTGGGAAATAGAAAAAAAAAATTGAAGCACATAATCTCCCTCTAAACTGAAAATTTACTGAGATAAGACAAACACACAATCA